CTTTCCACTCGAGTAACAGTTCTATTATTACAATAAGTTTTATTACTACAAATAATTGTTAAACAATTTTCTTTTGCTTTTTTTTCTTTCTTTCAATTATTTTACAAACAATTACCGATTGCATTGCATTGTCCATTAACAGCAGCGCATAGAAGGGGTGTCCGACCGTAATGATCCAAATCCTCGAGCCCGGCCAACTCAGGTCCAACAGAACTTAAAATAAGTCGTGCACATTCAACCGACCCCGCGCTAGTAGCGACGTGTAAAGGAAGTCGACCAGCTTGAGCATCTCTTAAAGCTGCAACTGTCTGTCCACCAAATTTATTTATTAACAAATCCAAGCAATGCGCTGAATTTTGATAAGCAGCACAATGAACAGCAGAGAAAGGATTACCTGAAAGTATAAAAACAATGTTCACATATATGTATATATATGTACATATATATGTCATGTTATCAATAATTTATTGTTTCAAAGAAATATAATGCATACCCTCTAAAGAATCAATAACATTTTGTTCTAACAGATATTCTACACAATTAGAATTTCCATTGTAACAAGCCCAATGAAGTACTATGCAACCTTGATCGTCTTTTAACGTCGCTGCCATTGGATCAGCGTTAATTAATGCAGCTAAAGCTTTCAATCTATCAATATAGATTATAATAAGCAAAAAAGAAAAAAGAAGGAAGAAAAATACATGTTAGATATCTTAATTTTAATCAAAAGCTTACATATTTTTACCTTCCACATGCAGCAGCTAAATGCAATGGTGTTTTTCCATTTGTATCCTGTATAGCAACACGAGCCCCATGTGATAACAATAAATCTACTAATTCATGATCTCTCGCATTGACTACTGCCCGAAATAAAGGTGTATGTTTATTCATATCGGGTAAATTGCAATCTGCATTGTATTTCAAAAGTAAACTTGCACATTCTGTTCTACTATTAGCTACAGCTAATGTTAAAGCTGTGCGACGTTTTACATCGTAACGATTTATTACACTTATATCTTCTGTTCTTTCCAATAAAAGTTGTAAACATTTAATATGACCTGTAGCTGCTGCACAGTGTACTGGCGTACGTTTAGTAATAGAATCCTTCGAATAAAATAAATCCACGTTGCATACAAGTTATATAAGAGAAATGTAATCTAAAAGATTATCATTCAAATATCTATATAATAAATTATTATGACTTACTTCAACTGAAACCGAAGCACCACAATTTAATAACATTTGAACACATTTTTCATGACCTTTATAAGATGCTAAATCTAATGGTGTTTTACCACTACCTTCTTTGATATTAGTATTTGGAAATAAAGGTAATAATAACCTCAATATTTCGCTATGACCGTGATATGCCTATATGAAAAATGATTTTGTATTTTTTGAAATTTAATGAAATATTTTTTATCTTACCGCAAGATGTAATGGTGTGAGTAATGGTAATTGTGATTCCTTTTTGGCAGTAATTGAACCTGGTAGTGTAGCTTGTAACAATGATTCTAATGCTGATTGATTACCAGCAGATACTGCATAATGTATAGCTGTAAATCCACGTCTATCACCTACTTGCGGATCTGCTCTATGCTTTAATAAGTATTGTACGCACCTATAGAATTAAAATAATACATAAAACAAAACTGAATATACTAATATTTCTCGATGATAAATAAAACAAACTACTAACTGTGCACAAGAATTTGCCGAACAATTTGTTGCTGCTGCAGCTAAATGAAGAGGAGTAGCACCATTCACATCTTGGGCATTAGAATCACTACCAAATCCAACCAAAGTAAAAACACAATAGTAGTGACCTTGACCAGCTGCTAAATGTAAAGCTAACTTATTTTCGTTATCGGTTAATCTAAAATTAGCTCCACTAGATAACAATAAGTCCAGACAAACTACAGAACCCTTTAATGCTGCCAAATGCAGCGGTGTTCTACCTCCTAAATCCTTTGAGTCTATAAGTTGACTATCAACTTGCAATAATTTTCTGCATACCTGTTATGAAGATAGGGTAAAGTATAATTTAATTATATTGTCTAATTAAATAAAGACTCACTTCTATGTGACCCGCTAAACAACTGAGATGTAGAGGAGTACGTTGAGTTGTGTTACGGGCTGCAGGTGATGCTCCATATTCAAGTAATGTTGTGGTTAAGCACTCGTGACCAAACCTTTGTTTATAATTTAATTTAATTGAAAGTTAAATATTAGTAAGAACAATTATTAATAAAATTCTAAGTATAATTATTAATAAAACATTAATTTAAAAAAGTTTTAAAGAAAAATCTTTTCTCATACCAAGCAGCAATGTGTAAGGCAGTATTTCCATTTTTGTCATTTATATCAGGTATAGCACCTGCATCTAGTAAACTTTTTGAACGAGTAAATCTTCCATGAATCGCAGTCATGTGTAATGGTGTGCGTCCATCTGCAGACTGAACATTTATTCTTAATCCTGCATGAAGTAACATTTCTAAGCAGTGAACGCCATGTGTACTAGCAGCAGCAATATGAAGTGGTGTTTGACCTTGGTAATTTATAGTTTCTAAATTAACAAAATAGTATAAATTAATAACATGATATACGAGCAAAACGAGCACGAACGTAATATAATTACATACCAATATTAACACCATTGGCAATGAGCTCTGAAACTGCATCTACATGTCCATTCAAACAAGCAATATGCAAAGGTGTATTGCCATATACATTTTTGGATTCTATATCTGCACCACCTTTAATTAAAGCATGCATGCATTCAACGTTCCCAGATGCAGCAGCTGCGTGTAATGGAGTATATAAATCGCGATCCTTAACACATGAAAAGAAAAATAAAAAAATAATGTAATTCTAATAAAAATATTCAAATACTTTGAAATAATGAAATGTAATTGAATTATTCGTTACTTTAACATCTACATCAGCTCCCTTTTCAATTAGTAATTTGACAATTTTATCGTAACCCATATATGCTGCAAAATGCAAAGCTCTTCTGTCTTTTTTATCAGCTGCATTTACTACGCAACAAGCTTGAGTTAAACATTCTACCATTTCTAAATGACCATTATAAGCAGCATGATGTAGGCTTGTTCTTCCACCCCTACAAACGAATATAGAAATATTAAATAAATTATTTTTACAAATGTACAATTAGTTGAAAAATTTTAGGAGCAATACAAACCTGTCTGTTACATTTATATTTAACACATAAGGAATCATAAGTTCTACGCATTCTACAGCATTATTTGCAGCTGCTACATGTAAAGGTGTTTGCCAACTTCGATCTCTATTGTTTACATCTGCTTTATACCTTAACAATACATTTACTACAGAAGGTTTGCTTGAACAGCAAGCTCTGTGTAATGGTGTTAACCATTTTTTATCTTTAATATTGACTGATGCGCCATTTAATAATAAAGTTTCTATAATATTTTCATCTCCACTATAAAAATATTTACAAATTATATTATATTTTGGAAAGGATCAATTAATAGAAGAGCTATTGGAAATAATACATACGTATACGCTGCTGCATGCAAAAGAGAACGTTGTTCATGATCTAGCCAATTAATATCCTCTTGTCTTGATAATAATGCACGAACCTCTTCTACATCTCCATGAAATATTGCTTGCAATAAAGGAGGCTATAAATAAAGAAATTATATCTATGATTTATATATCTATCCATGATAGCATTTTATTAAATGAAATGTAATTAAATCAAAATTTTATTAAAAATTCGTTCATGTTGAGAGGTTAATTGGAAGAATATAAGAATTAAAAGTAAACAGCTGAGACGAATAAAACTTAATATTAAAATATCAAAACAGATGTAAATATCTACAATTTAATTTTATAATAAATAAAGTTAAAAACTTGAAAGAAATATATATTTAATATATGACATATAAACCTAACCTATAAAGAATCCATGTAATATTAAAAGACATCAAAACGAATTCTAATAAATTGTGTTAAATTAAGCGAAAAATAGAATTTACCCCGTCACGTAAATCATACACGTTCATGTTTAATCCTTTTTGAGTTTATACCGATACTAGAACGCTTATAAAATCATAGTCGCTGCATCGTAGACAAATGACATTATCCTGTGAGTCATACTAACGTCCATGCATCTTAAATAATATACATGTATGCTTTGAATATAATATGCAGTGTCTCGTCAATTTTTTTTTTTTTTTATCGTTTTCTGAAATAAATAAAAATTTATATGAAGAATATTTTATCGATTTTTTATCGGCTTAATTTAATATATTTTCTTATATTATCTCTTACCTTTATAAATACTTCAAATGGAATAAATCGATATATTTATAATAAACGTCCTCTAACAGCAAGGTATTACCGTTTAAAATGTATTTTTAAATTAGAAAAACCAATAACAAATATATATTTGATATCTGTTTCTTCTTATATTTATTCCTCTAATTTATAACATGTTTGTAAGAAATTTATGTTACTTGTTGAGTAATTATCTGTATAAATAATCATAAGAGACATCACAGGCAGTGAAAGGATGAGGAATACTCCTCTTGTACTACTTTCTTAGATATTATTTTTCTTTTTTTCTTTTTTTTTTTTTTTTTATAACACTTACAGTATTTGCAACGACTTTCTTCGTATGACGTATCATACAAAAAACATGCAAATTTATTTTCTATAATTTAAAGGATGAGCTTTTAAACAATATGAAGACAAAGGATAAACTATATATATTCTTTTTTCTTTTTAACAATCAACAAACTTCTGCACTTTTGTACATAAATTTTAAGTAAAATCGATAAATACTTGATTATTAAATAATTTCGATATCTTCAAAAATTTTATGGTTTTATCGATAAAATTCAAGAAAAATAATATTAATAATTGAATGAACTTAATATCATACATATATAAATGAACTTGAAGGAATTTCATTGCGCAAAACAAGGAAACTTTGAATAATAGAATATTGTCTATTTAAAATCCGATTGAAAATCAACAGCACAATGTATTCTTTTATAATCATGTTGTTATTGTTATACTAATTTTAAATTCTATAAGATGGTATGTACATACAACTTGTACGGTCAGATGAATTTACATTGATAATTATTTTGTTATCTAGGTGCGCGTTATTACATTGCAATGCGTATGAACTTACTATTTATAAATATTTTTTTTTTTTGCTTTTTCTACTTTTTTTTCTTTTTGATAAAATTTGTTTACAAATCGATCATGAAAAATTTTTAGTCCTTTTTTTTTCTTTATTAGGTTTTTTTTTCTTTTTTTTCTTTTTTATATATAAAATCTTTAAAGAATTCATTATTATGAATTTGATTGAATCTGAAATTGAACTAAATTAAAATCATAAGAATTAAAGTCTAATGTAATTCGTTAAGAATCATTTGTCCGTGGAAATTAAATGAAAATTAATGAGGAATAAATGCAGATGTTATCAATTTCCTCATTTAATTGTGCTAACTGTAAAACAATCATAGACGATTCTCGTCGTAATCCACGCACGTCAAACGATTCCTATAATACATTCCAGATTATCGTTATAAATCCCGTTAATATGGCTTAATGTATTATGAAATATTCACGTATCAACAATTTCAACATATTTTTTTTTTGTTTTCTCTCTTTTTATTCGTGTTATAACGTTAAATTAAAAATCAGCGTCCCATCCAGAGAGATCATCAGGAGGCACTGGATCATTGTCTGGTGGGTACTCGTCGAAATTTGAAGTATCAATAGGAGCACGTATACGAGGTCTTATTGGTGGATCTAGTGTACGTAGTCGTAGGCCTTCCCAATTGAAGCCGTCGAACCATCTAAAAAATAATAAAACGAACGAGATATAAAATTGAAATAAACATTTTTAACGGAACGAAACGTTTAATAATACAACGATATTTTCAAAATTTTTAATCAAATAATCATCAATTAATTACTTGTGCTTTTGAATTTCGCTAATGCCTCCTTTTTGATGGCCGAGTCGTTCTGCCGGATTGTCTCTGCGAAGTATGAAAAAAATATTTCAATTGATCGTCAATCAATACGAATTGATATGCAATGAACATGATTATCGACGATTACCTGCAAAGTTTTTTAATCAGGACAGAAGCGTTACGTGTTATTATCTTCGGAAAGTCTATGGTATCGATGCCTTTTAAAATAATGTTATATGTTTTCATTGGATCAGAACCGGTGAATGGCGGCGCTCCAGTGAGAAGTTCAAATATAAGGACACCGAGGGACCAATAGTCGGCGCTTATGTCGTGGCCTCTATTGAGAATAACTTCCGGTGCGACATATTCCGGCGTACCACAGAATGTCCATGTCTTTTTTCCATGATCCAATCTCTTGGCAAATCCAAAGTCCACGACTTTGACGTATCTTTAAAGGAAAAAAAAAAAAAAAATTATTATGTTACAATTATTATATTAAAATTTTTCTTTCTAATGATAATTAAATAGAATCACACGAAGATACAATGTATATAACGTAAAATTTAAGTGAAAGTACTTTGACGATAATTTATTATTATAGATCTCCCGCGGATATACTTTATTTTATATTCATCATGTCTATAAATCATGACACCTTTACCATTTGACTTTCACTGGACGACGTGAGATACTTAAAAGAAGAGAGAGCAATCTATGACCGATAAACATATGGCATATATATATATATATATGTATGTATATATCCTTACCCTTCGTTGTCCAATAGAAGATTTTCCGGCTTAAGATCACGATAAATAATATTTCGTGAATGTAAATAATCGAAAGCTTCGACGACGCAAGCAGTATAAAATCGTGTAGTGGGATCATCAAAGTGTCCTCTATCTCGGAGAACAGTCCATAGTTCTCCTCCTAGGCATACTTCCATTAACATATACAAATATTTGTCGTCTTTAAATGTTTTGTATAACTTGACAATAAAGTCACAATTAGTTTCATTCATGATACGTTTTTCCGACATTATATGTTGTTGCTGTCTCGTTTCGACTATCTGTGCCTTTTTCATCTGTTTTAATGAAAATGCTTGAGAACTATCATCACCAATTTGAACTAATTCGACACGGCCAAAGCCACCAACGCCGAGGGTAGCAATCCGTCGTAGATGGTGCAATTGAACGTGTCGGAATTCCTCGTCCAATCTAAATAATTGCATATAAATTAAATATTATATGTATAAATATATATATATATATATATATATATATATATATAATTGATATATTATCTACGTTATTATCGTCATAAAAATTAACTTTTAATGGATTGTTTAGTTTCGAGTTTAAAAATACATTTAACACTTACTACTATTCATCGTACGTTTTATTTTTGTATCCAAAATGCAAGCGTGAAATAACAATTATAACAGCATTATCATAAAAATTGCAATTAAATGATTAAAATCGAAGAATATTCTTTTTTCTTCTTCTTTTCATTTTTTTCTTTCTTTTTTTTTTCAAATAGTATAAACAAAAACGTAGGATGAAAAAATATCGATACTGACCTTCGTCGTTCCACGAGTTCATCTTCGTATGTCTTCCGTATCTCGTCCAAAGGAGAAATTAATTGATTGAAAGTTTCACGATCTATGACTAAACAAGTGACACCATCGACATCGTTTGCGATGATGTTAGCAGTCCTCAGGTCGTCACTGTATATATATCGAAACACGTGTTAAGAAAGTGTTCAAGATTATAAAGATTTTATGTGTATGTGTGTGTGTGTGTGTGTGTGTGTACGTTATTTAATAAACACAAAAAAAGATTTATCAAATGCGTGTTTACCCTTGCAAAGCTTTTTCACCGAAGAAATCACCTCGGCGTAATGTTCTAATAAATTTGTCTTCTATTGAATCCTTTTGCTTCATAGTAACACGTACTTGACCTTTACTAATAATAAAGAAGGTATCACCTCTGGCACCTTGTCTAACTATATAATCGCCATTGTTATAGGTAGTCTACAAAAAAAAATAAAAAAAAAAAAAAAATAAAAAAAAAATAAAAAAATAAAAAAATAAAGAAAGAAAAAAGTAAAAATAAAACAAAAAATAAATAAAAAGTAAAACATAAAAAAAGAAAGAAGAAATAAAATTAATAATCTAATCATTTCAAAACTATAACACAAATTTTTAATCGCTAGAAAGTACTTACTTCCTCTAAAACGTCAGTGATTTTTGTTAAAGCTTCGTCAGGTAAATTCTTGAAAATAGGTACGCTGAAAAAGAAAATAAAAATAAAAAAAAAAAAAAAAAAATAAAAAAAGGAAAAAAAAAATAAAAAAAGAAAAAAAAACGTAAGTTCTTATTTCATTTTCCTTTAGAAGAACGCATTGAAGATATTTGAAGAAAAAAAAAAAAAATAAATAAATCAAAAAGTATGTTACCTCTTTAAGAAATCGGTATATTCCGCTTGTTTTGTGAGGCCTGTCCTCATCATAATAGTTTGAAAACTTTGTCGGTCTATGGCCCATAGTCTACAATCAACCGCAGCAGTTATTGTTGCTGTCCTTTTGCAATTGTAAAGAATTGCTAATTCACCAAGAACCTTGCCTGGCGTCAAATTGCTTAGGTACTTGCCGTCCCTCGATACTTCAACTTTACCCTCTGCAATAAAAAACGTGACAAGATACTTCTTCATTATAAGACGTAAAGATTTTTGCGAATATAATTTTTTTCTTTTTTTTTTTTAATCGATACAGTCAATAGAAAATAAGTATATTTATATATAAATAATAACGAGAGAAATTAATTATTACCGTTGTTTTTATAAATTCTTTAACGTCGTGAAAATAAAGGAAAAGAAAATAATCGAAAAGAAAGAATAAAAGAAAAAGAAGAAAGAAATAACCTAAGATACGAAAGGAGTTCGTTGATTTCTTTTCAATCTGCATGCAAGTCTAACAACTTTTAAAGTAAAAGTCGAAAGTCTAGTGACATTTCAAATTGAATGTATTAAATTTATTTTGACGATCGTATGATTTGAAATTTTTCGTATATCGTTCGAGATATCATTGACAATAATTCGTTCAATCTGATTAGGCAAAATGCTACGTAATGTGAAATGTTCGTCAATTTTTTGTTTTTTCTTTCTTTTCTTTTTCTTTTTTTGTAATTAAACTCGTACACAAATCTTCGTGCTGGAAGGAGATAATTTTTTTTCTTTCTTTTTTTTTTTTTAATTATTTATTTTATTTATTTTTTAAATACACTTAAGACCGGAAAAACGAGCAATCATATCTTTCAGGGGCAATCTTTATAATTAACAATGGGCTCATTCAAGAACGCATCCGGTAACCTGGCTGACTTTCTGCTTAGATACTGTATATATATATATATATATACAATATATATATATATGTATAACGGAAATCCATCATATCATATGTGATGAAATGTGAGCTATTAAGCGAACAATTAACTAATTTGTACTATTATTGAATTTGAAATACAATATATCAAGAGATATTTTCGGCTTTACTTAATCATTAATACCTACGTTATATGTTTATACTTATCGTTGTAAAAAAAAAAAAAAAAAAAACAAAAAAATGTTTTCAACGAAAATTAATATCCTAACAAAACTGATATCAATTTGTGATTTCTCAATGATGATATTGATTAGATCTTAACTTGTGGTCTTAAGGCGAGATCCGATGTAATGTATACATATTTAAAAACCTTAAAAAGATATTTATATTGAATTAAATTCTTTTCGAATTAAATTCTTTTTAAATTAAATTCTTTCGGTGATTATCTTATAGATATATTTGTTACGATGTGTTAAAATACTTCTTCACATAGTAATTCTCTTTATTTTTTGTTTTTTTATCTTTAATTAATTAATTTATTTATTTATTTATTTTTTTTTTTTTTTTTTTTAATAATAATAAAACTCATATTTTTATATCGTAATATTTAGATTGACCCGATTTCATATGATATATAATCGTTGTATAATAACTGGTCAATATATAAAATCTATAACGTTTCCGTGAGTTATAAAACGACCGGAAAGACCACTCTCGATATCCTTTTAGTAGTTAATAATTATACCGTGATACTTATAGCCTTGTCTAACTAAGAAAACTTGGAGTTCATAAATGAGTCATTGAAAACGCGTTAGTAACGTTCGGGTTTTACTTTCACTTATCGAAAATTCAATGGCCACGCTCGACGACCTTCTTGCTTTTCGAGCTCGAAAATATCATCGGTTACGAGTTGAGCGTAAATTCGTAATAAACGGTTTATTGATTCGTTAAGATTGATGCTAAGATCCCGTAAGTTCGATCGATTTAAATGCTAAAATGTAATTAATGTAATTGATCTACGTAATTTAACTTTTTTCGTTTTTATTTAATTAACTACACGGATAGGTATAATTTAATTTTTTCATTTTTCGCAAATTATTATCGAATATCAAGATCTTCGTACGATTTGAAAATAAAAAGACAAATGATGCAGTGAACATTTATTATACATTCATATAAATTACGTGCATGTACTATTAATTAAAAAAAATAAAAATATATATATATATATATATATATATATAACAGAAAAAAAACAATAAATATAACATTTACTATTTTATTTGTTTGTAAATTTCATTTTATTTATTCATTATAAATATCCATTACGCATGAATATATAATAGATATTAATAATACATATATGTATTATTAATTTAAAAAAATATACAAAACAAAAAATAAACATATAAGAATATTGAAATATTAAAATATTTTGAAATTGAAATATAATTGTAAAATCGGAATGATTAGAAGATCAAAAATTAAAAAAAAAAAAAAATTTTATTCCAATATTTTAATAATTTGCAAGAAAAGTTTAATGCTAAAAGTTTGAAGTTCAAAGTTAAAAGTTCAAGTTCGTTAAGAAAGTTTAACTTTATATATTTTACATAGCTATAATGTACAACTCGAGTTTCGATCTTGAAACTCGAATGAAAGATTTGAATAACGACGAAGAAAAAAAAAAGAAAAGTAACAAACAAATAAAGACCGATATTATGCTATCTTCCGTCATGGATCTCGTAAGAAATATAACGAAAAATATTTTATTTCTTAGAAGGAGAGATCAGGGAAGTCGTACCGAATGATTGAAGCGTCGAGAGGTACATAAACATTTTTTACTCGACGATAACAAGAAACTTTATCGTTTTACTCGTTTCACGGATGTTGGAACGACGTTTGTTTTGCGAAAGATACGGATTCTCCTTCTATGATGTGAGTCTTGTCTCTCGCAAAATTATATGATATTTCACGCATCACGTTGACGAAAAAGAATGATGATAACGTTAATGAAAAAAGGAGCAAAAGGAGAAGAGAGAAGGGAAGAGAGTACGAATAAAGATGCGAATGAGATGAAGGAAAATAATAAAATAAATCGATCGTATATCGTGATTTGCATTTTATTTCATATGAGGATAAGAAAAAAAAAAAAAAAAAAAAAAAGAAAAGAAAAAAAATGATTGGCACATTTTTTAGATTGGCCAAGAAAAAAGAATTTAAAGAAAAAAACAAAAAAGCAAAAAAAAAAAAGAGAAAAAAGAAAATAGAACAGAGTATAATTATATAACGTGAAAAAATCTTTGTAATTTATACCTAATAAATATTAATCTTAATCATTAAAAATTAATGAAGAATATGAACTTTTATAATAAATCTTTATAATCTAACATAAACTTTATAATTAACTAAATTATAATTAAATAAAATATTATTTATTTAAAAATAAAAAACAAATAATGATATATATATATATGTATGTATGTGATATATATTAGGGGGACCGGAAAGTAATGTCGTTTCTGCGCATCTCGATATTTGATTGTGATTATAAATAAAAACTTGTTAAAAATTTATTCGTTTGAATTTAATTTAAGAAAGCGACATTTCTTTCCAGTCCCCCTAATTATATATATATATATATATATATATATATATATATATATATATATATATATGTGAGTTCAAAATTATACATAGTATTATGAAGACAGACAGAGACAGAAAGAGAGAGACAAAAGAGGAAGGAACTAAGCTCGAACGAATGATCACATTTGAGATACGATTTGGAATCGGTTGATACGATATACATGTTAGTGAGTTACGTGTCCGATGAAAAAAATAAATTAGAAGGAGAAAGACAAAGAGATAGACAGATAAATAGACAGATAGATAGATAGATAGATAGATAGATAGATAGATAGATAGATAGATAGATAGATAGATAGATAGATAGATAGATAGATAGATAGATAGATTGATAGAGAGAAAAAGAGAGGATAAAAAAGAAATAAAGAGAGAAAGAGAAAGAAGGGAACACTGTCGATGACTGCATTCATTGTCCAAGCGAATGTTGTGCTTTCACTTCCTCGCATATAGTATATAGAAACTAAAGTCCAAGATATAGTCACGTTATAAGTCCTCGAC